GCACAATTCTTATAGCTCTTTTTTGTAATATATACAATGGTTGAAGTGCGCTTTTGTATGTATTTCCCCAGTTTTCAACGCCATACTTTTAAGTATTTCTATGTACAAGGCCACACCACCTCCCATCTTATTCTCTCTGTTTGTACATACCAAGTCGTAGCCATCAAGGTCAAAATCCATTCCCGTTACATTATTCATCCAAGTTTCAGAAATATCAATTATATTAAAAGAATGTGTAAGACTACTAAGATAATGTTTTATACTCTGAAAGTTTGCGTATAAACTTCTGCTATTAAAGTGAATTAATGATAATTTGTTTTCAGTCTTAACATTGCTGTTAAACTGCTCATCCGTGTAATACTTGCAGTTATTTTCAGAGTTCTTAAAAAAGTTTTTTTCAGGGTCAAAGTCATCGTCCGATTCATGATAATGTTGTTCAGTGTCTCCAATTGTGTTCAGTTCCAGATCCAGTCCCTCAAAAACTATTAACCTCTGTAGCAAATCACTTGCCTCATTCCGTACGTGGGTCATACTTGTTGTTGGTTCCTGCTAATTGTTGGTTCCAATGCTCATCTGCCATCGCAGATATCAATATACCAGCGTATTTCTTCATTCATTTATATAAATGTTAGATCCTTTAAGCTTCTTTGCTTGTTGCAGTATGTGTGCCTTATCCTTCTATTTCATCAACTTTACCATCACCGCCCTCGGTCCCCGATCAGAAGGTTTCCCGACTCTGTGAGCCCGCTCCATCTCAATTTCTTGATGAATTTGCAGTTTATCCTTTAATATTTCCTTCACCTTACATTCCGCTTCCGTCCAGCTTTCTCCAGCTGACTCCTTGATTCCCTCGAAGATCAGGTTTTTTCGCTTGGACTGTACTTCCAAATGCTCCATTTTATCCGTTATGGCTATTAGACTCTCACCAGTTTTGTAGACATCCTCCCTTGTTTCCTTGGTTTGTATTTTCTTATCACCCATGGCTGCTTTAATCACATCCACATATCGTTGGGTAAACTGCAAACTGGTTTTTATCTCCTGTATTTCTCTGGTGATGTCGTCGAGTCTCTTGTTATTTGTCTCCATAAGTAGTTGCACAAAACCTTTGAAGTTATCTTGTTGTTGGCTCAACAGTGCGGTGTACATCTGCTTCTGCTGACTCAACATCTCTGTTACTTGCGCCGCTGAAATATAATCCTCTTCTGCTTCAACATCCTCGTTCGCTTCTGATTTATTAGCTCTTTTCCCTCTTGGAGGCATTTTAATAGTTGTAGAATTTGTTCAAAGACTTGAAAATGTAGAAGATGTGAAAAATCGTAGAACAGACAAGAGGAGCAGTAAAGACGTCTGCTCTCGCTGGCTTTAGCCATTTCAAGTCTCAAATGCCAGTTTTGGTAGCACCACAATGAGTATGAACTGAGGAAAAAGGAATATTAGGATAATAACATGATAAAAAGTGAACAGGAATGAGCTGAAGTGTACTGAAAACATTTGACAATCAAGTTGAAGTGTGTACAGTGAAAGCAAAGTGTGATGTTAAAGGCTTATTTTAAGTGTGAGCACTAAAAGGATTAAAAGGACTTGAAGTGCCAGGAGTAGGCATTGAAAAGAAAGTACATGCAGTATCAGTTTTAGTGGTAACTCTAACACTGACTTCACTAGCTGTGTTCATGAATTAAACAGTTTTAACAACTAAATATAGCTCAAATCCAATCAAACCCACTAAACTTAATAATTCAGTACAATTTCTAAGCTCATGTTTTAGCTAAGGTTCATGTGCTTGGTCCAATCATTTTTTTAGATTCTTTCTTCAGGTCACATTACACATAGACTTGTTAGTTTCTATTTTTATAGAAACTAACAAAGTTATCTGATATCAGAAAACTGAATCTATCCAAAAGCTGCCTTCATGACATCCTTGAGTGGATGTCTTAGAAATTTCTCCAACTAAATCATGCTAATACAGAGATAGCAGTTATGGGTTCAGAAAAAGTAAATGTCTTATTCTTAAATTCTACAGTGTCTTATGACATTCAACCATGGCTTTAGCCAGGGCTCCAGACTAACATTTCAAGTCTCAAATGCCGGTTTTGGTAGCACCACCTCTGTTTTACGATATAATGTAAATTATTTGAAATACCCTTACCACCCAATGTGCATAGCCTATATTTATAATGAAATTCAGAGAGAGGGGAGAATTATGGAACATGGGCTTCACCAGGCTGGCTGACTGCAGAAATGTACTTGACAACAATAGTTTTTATTTAGGCTCATCAGCAATGTTTGTATGTATAGATTTTTATTAATTTCCCCATCTTGCTACAAAGGACAGGGGAAAATAAAACCAGAAAGTTTACAGTGACACCAGGAGCCTGATCCATCAGAAGAGATTCAAGTAAAAAGTTTCCAGTGCATAAATGGTGTAACAGGTGATTGGCCTGATTTAAGCAGTCATCTCTGGTATTTGTACTTCAGATGTGCCAAAGGAGGAAATAGACAGATGGACTCAAAGCGTAAAAAGGATGTCCGGGGATGGCGCGTGTCTCTGAGAAGTCACTGCGGATCGACGCATGTGATAGATTGGAAGTTTCTGTTTTGTGAAATGGATGATTGACAGACCTGCAGATAAATGTGAGATTGTTACACATGTTCACCATTGAGAGCAGTCATTTGTGCATAACCTGTTTATTTTGCAGTTGCACCCAGATTGACCTTTAGAAAAAAGAATTTCATCACATGTTGACTAGACTGGCATCTACAACCACGACATACAGGAACTGCACTGGTTTTCATGCAGATGACACACGATCCACAGTGAGCTATTAATTTGCATCTGCAAAAACATTCTCTCTTGTTTACAGCTAATACAAAACTTTATTGTAAAGCATGTTGTACCTGTGCTAAATAAACATTATCATATGAATGATTCATTTTAAACTTTTTCTCTAGCTCCGGATGGTACAGTTTATCAGAATTATTAGTTTATCTTGTTATTAATGCTTTTTTTATTTCTAGTGTTGCAGGTAAAACATTATATATATATATATATATCAGAATTATGTCAACTATGTCAGATAATCCTTCAAATACACTATATCCATGCTGCTGTCCTTAACCACTCTCACCCCTCCCTGAGGCGCCGTGGCGAGGCCAGCGTGGAGGGAGTCCTCAACCTGCTGGTCCTGGAGCACCTACAGCTTGCTCCCTTGCAGTGGGGTGAGTGCTTGTGTACATCTGCATGCATACTCTATGTAATTATGAGCTGTGATCACACACCTGGAAGACAGTCAACTTTGTGAGCATCCTGAGCTGTGTTAAGATTGGTAAACATGAAGTTCTTTTCATAGTTTGTCAGTGCAATATGAAGTAAAAGGTTTTCATCATGTTGTTATGCCTGTTTTGTGATTTGGAAATTGTATCTCACCCTCCAATTAAGTATTCTATAAATAGCTTGTCTGATAATTATAGGCATCTAGGTTGTTACATAGCCATCTCTTTATCTGTCAGTGCACAAACCTCCAGCAATGGTCTCAATCCATGTTTTGTATTTGCATTAATAATGGGCTACAGGCTATTTTGGAGAAGTGTAGACAGCAGCTTGGGAAATGTGTGAATCACTGGGGACACAAAGAATTTGTAGGAGCACTCTCTGGTTGCACCATCTGTGATCATCCTCAGAAATCACTTTTGATTTACTGTGGGTGTTTGTTTTCTGAGATTCCAGCCCTCTGTTTGGGCAGTGCCAGGATTTTCATCAGTCAGCTGGGGCTCTCCTGCTTTTTTGAATACAAAGCCTTCTGCAAAATGAAGTGACACAGCAGATTAAGCATGCATGTCAGAATGTATTTTGATACAAATGATGTTTTGTTATTTCTGTGTCTTCATTTCTGTGACCGTAGTATTTCTGTTCCAACTTAGGCCTTTGCATTCCTTGCTGAGCCAGTTCAATTGCTTTATCCCATTAGGTTGCCATGCTCAGTTTTGAGCATAGTTCAAGCCTTTACACTTGGATGCCATTAAAGTTATTGTGTCTCTGTAAGTCTCACACTTACAGATGCTTGACTGTCAAAACTTCCAGGTGAATTTGTGATTAATTGTCATGATGTTTCTGGCCAAAGCTTCGTGCTCTGAAAGGCTTAGGCACAACACCTAACTAAGCTGATTGAATGTAAAAAGGTTACAGAATGAATGTAAAAACCATTATGACTTATACTCACTGAAAAACAACACAGAGGTGACTTGATCTTAAAATGAAATGTAAGCAGGCAACAGGAATGACCTGTCAATAAACAACCTGTGTTTGGATGAACATTTACGTCATTGGCAGCATCGCCAAGCTAATCAAAGAGCTGATTGGATATTTTTCTGTACTATCAACTCAGAACAGTAGTTACAGCTATCAATAAGGTCAGCCTCCACAAAGAATACACCACATGGCTGTAACTTTGTTGGAATAGAGATAGCAGAATGTAGCCTATTTTACAAGGAAAGAAATTGCTAACGTAGCTAACACATACTGAAGTTACGTTAGTCGAGGAAGCTAGTTAGTTCACGTTACATAAAAAATATGCTATGAATATAAGTTAGAATTTCCTTTGAATAATTAAAAAACAAACAAACAAAATAAGTAAGCTGCCTGAAAACCTAGGGGTGTTTGTGGGATATAATGCACAATGGCACTCTTTTATTTCCCTTTAATTGTACCTAATTTCTTTTCAGCAGCTAGAGGTTCTAGTGAGACCCAAAACAAACTGACATCATATGATGCTCATAACCACTCTTTGTCCCTCCCATCACATCCCGTCACCTAGTGCTGACGCAAACTACAGATGCTTGGTTTGGCGCCTTTTCACGCTCTCTATCTCAAAAAGGCAAACCAGTGCTAGCCCTGGTTTTTCCTCTTTCTTTGTCCCACTTTGTCTGTTCAAAAGAACACAACCTTTTCATTCTGGTGGTTCGGACTTTCAGCTGTCGAGAGATTTCGACTGGCTGGCTGCTCAAAATGACTTCTTGCTAAACGTTTCTTATGACCTTTGCTAGGTGACAAGCGGTGCTAATTTCTGGATTGTATTTGGAAAACAGGGCGGAGAATCTGGAATAACATGAGATGCGTAGTAGGCATCAGACTGTCATGGAGTGGGGTTATATAGAAGAGAAGACACTATGTACTGTCCCATTTTCACTGAATTTATCAGAAAATGGCCTCTATTCTTCTGTGAGCACAAAGCCATAGCTTAAAGCATAGTCTTGATGCAGTTTTCCTTGGGTGTGAGACTACTTTTTTGTACATTGGTGTGTTTGGTATTTTTCTGCCGTGAATAAATGCATTTATGCTGAGGTGGAGGGAGAGACACAGTTGAAGCCATGTTTATGCAGATTAGGCACAGCTGTGCAATTTTGGTGCTCATTTTCACGCAAAATACCAATAACACTCGCTCAGAACACAGTCACAGGTGCACTGTAATTTCCCTGGCAGTCTAGGCTGAGAAGCATGAGAACAGGTACTCAAATATATTTTAACGGCCACCCCAACTGAAAATAATGGTTCCAGTGCGTCATCGAACCATACTTTCTGCCCCACCCAAAAAAATCCTTAACCTAAAGATTCAGCACTACAAAGTTCTCAGTCTTTCATGTTTTCAGCAGCTATTATCTAACATGTATAAAGTGTTTAGAAACAAATCACCAATTTTTCTTTATCAAAATTTTAAATGGAAACAATTATGCACTAAAATAACTGAAATATAAAAAGAGAGAAATAGATATTTAAGAAATTTAAGAAAGTAAATTTTATAGGCATTGCACAGTTTCTCTGTCATTTGTTATTCCTAATCACAATTAATTATACCCTAGAATTTAAATTTGAGACATGGCTTAACACAAAAATGCAACAACTACACAGAACCACAAAATATACTGAAAAAAAAAACAAAAAAAAAACTCTGTGTCATTTTTATTTATAGATATTGTGCCTCAGGCTGGGGTTGTAATAACCTCTCTGCCAGAGGTCAACCAGTTGCGTGACATGAGAAACTTGATGCCTCTTCATGATTTGCTACCACAGAAATCTATGAATATTTGATTACACAGGTTCCAGTAAATGGAGAACATGGAAAGTGCTAGATCTGTTTTATGTCTCTTTGTTTGATTACAAGCTCATTATTATTATTATTATGGGATGGGGAGCAAACTTGGGCCATTAGTAAATTATTCTACATCTGGGTAGAATCATCCCCACTGTCACATCAGCATTTCTGCATTAAAGTATATGATGAAATTCATTTTACAAATGAATAATGAAAAAAAAAGTTACATATTGTTTTGTTTGTGGTGAATTTCATTTTGTGGGTTCAGAGGAACATCTGTAACCCATTGAATGGGCAAGAAGGTAAAGCAGATTACTTTAATGTGTATGTGATGTGCTAAGTTTTCTTGGGGGGAAAATTAAGTCGACACACATTAAACCATAAACACAAACACAGATGAGAGAGTTACATTTTCTCTATGCTTTTAGAACACACATTTCTGTTAAATATGGACAGTATTATTTTCTGCAGGTATTTCATGAAGTCTGCTTGGAAAATAATCCGTGACAGTAATATCAACTGTAATGGCATGTTTACGGCATGTGAACAGGTTGGAAAAACCTTGTGAGATCAGTTGTTGCTAAAATTCATGCAATTTGTATTAATATGTACCTCTTTTCCTAACAATACTAATCCCAAAAGGTTCCTACTAAGTTTCAGTGCTTTTCATAGCCATTTCAAATTCTGCTCCAGTAGTAAAAGTCTGTCTGGCAGTCATTCTGCCATTCTGTCACAGATCCGGAAACAAAAGTCCAGCACTAAACTGTATACACTGACTATGGATTTCAAAGCACCGTTGAAAAGGGTAGACACTTTTACAAATAGTCTAAATGTCAGAAGAGCAGCCTTGGATATTCTCAGCTATTGTTTTCCAGAAGGTTACTGCCAGACTGGTTTAATTATCTGTGACAAAATTTTATTGCTTTCCTAAAAACTATTCGGGGATACTTGTCATCCTTAAAATTAAGAAGAACTCAGATGAAATAAATTTGACAGGGTGAGACAGAATGGAACACTATAACTTAGAATCTATATATCTTGTTTTCCACAGGAAATATTTTACTCAGCTCCTATCAGTCTATATTTTTTCTTCTTCTGTCCATAATACAGTAGACAATTCATTGTCTAAATGAGACAGTAGAGGGTGGCAAGGGGGTTTAAATGTGTCTGCAGATAAATACAACTCCCAATCAATTAATTACCAAAATCTAAATCAAATTTTTAGTCAGCCAGTATGTACTGTAGATTGGAACATGTTAATGTACCCTCTTGTAAACAAAGAAACCGTACATTAACATTGTCTTTTTCACCAAAACTCATAGTGCTCTTTGACACCTACACTTTGGACCTACAGTAACCATCATGTTAAATACATTTTTACTTCATAAAACTGCTTTACTATACCTTGAACTCTGCATTATTTAACTTTATCCACTTGCAGAGCAGTCCATGTACATCTATGCTATATACAGCGTGCTGACCTCAGCAACGTTAGCTTGGCTAGCCTTACTAACTTGCTAATAACATAGAAGAATTGGATCCCCATGACTGACACACTTATGTTAAAATAAAAAAGAACACAGGGAGGAGGAGCTGTTCACAGACAGCCTTTTGTTATGGTTGTCACGTGTTTGTGTGTGTGAAATAAGAGTTAACCTATTTTAAATCAATAGGTGGCGGTCACAGGCAATTTAACCAGAAGGTTGTTTGTAGGTTACCTCGTCACGACTTAAAATGTACTTAAAATAACTGCTGGATAGTCAGTGTTGATATTGTAGTGGCCTGCCACAAATAGGTCAGTGTATGGGAAACAGTGGCATACACAGTGATGGCGAGGTGCACACAAAAGTCATTTTCCATGATAAGGTGAATGCAGCTTAACACACCCTAATCTCTGTTGAGTTGCATTATGGGCATTGTAGGCATTAGGTTGTCACATAGTAGAAAGATGATGGAAGTTAGGCAGACAGTAACTTTCCCTCTACTCCACAGATTTTGATGCTTACTTTTTTTTGTGTTCCTTGTGAGTGTGATAGTACAGCAGTGCAGCAGTAGACCTACTCTTTAAATGTCCCATTATGGGTCAAATTATGTTTTAGAAAGTGTATCCAAACTTTAATATAAGAGGCA